TTAAGGCCCATTTGGCCAGGTGGGGCCCAAATGGGTCTGACATGAATTGCCCAATTAAGACCCACGCAGTACCCGTACTGGTCCCAATTTTAGTACATCTGGGCTTCCACAGCTTGCCCCAATGTGGATCCCGGGTGCAAGCCCATAATGGGGCCCACATTTGCCGCCCATCAAGCCCTCATATGGGCCCCACATGTCATTGCTGGCTGGGTTGCCACTAGGTGGCGCTATGAATGTGGGTGAATGTCGGCATGTAGATTTGATCAGGGCGGGACTCTTGTCAAATGTGTAAAATTTCGTGCAGATCTGGGCATTTACAGCCAAGTTACTACAACTTCCTGTTTCATGGCGAATCTTCGACGCCACGGACACGCCCATCGACGAAAACGCGCAGATAGCACAACTTTACATCGTCAATGCCTTTAGAAGGTACAACAGAAATTTGAAGTTGATCCGACTAAATCCCTAGGAGGAGTTCGTTAAAGTACGGAGTGTGTAAATCGTCCCAAATCGGTCGCCGAATTCAAAATGGCGGACTTCCTGTCGAGTTTAGGGTATGGGTTCTTGAGGCTTTTTTGTGCGTCTGGTCATGGTAGATGTACCACAGAAATTTTGTACATGTCGGTCAAACAAGCGGCGGGGGCAGCTTCGTTAAAGGTCACTTCCTGTTGCCAGCAGGTGGCGCTATGACTGTGGGTGAATGTCGGCATGTAGATTTGTTCAGGGCGGGACTCTTGTCAAATGTGTAAAATTTCGTGCAGATCTGGGCATTTACAGCCAAGTTACTACAACTTCCTGTTTCATGGCGAATCTTCGACGCCACGGACACGCCCATCGACGAAAACGCGCAGATAGCACAACTTTACATCGTCAATGCCTTTAGAAGGCACAGCAGAAATTTTAAGTCGATCTGACTAAATCCCTAGGAGGAGTTCGTTAAAGTACGGAGTCTGTAAATCGTCCAAAAATGGCCGCCAAATTCAAAATGGCGGACCTCCTGTCGAGTTTAGGGTATGGGTTCTTGAGGCTTTTTTGTGCGTCTTGACATGATACACGTCCCCACCAAATTTCGTGCATGTAGGTTGAACGTGGACGAGGGGCTAATTTTTTCCAATTTTCTAGGTGGCGCTAGCGTGCCATTTTGCCCCGCCCATCTGCGAAACCCACAAAATACGAAATTTTTCACCAGTCCTGACATGCGTGCCAAATTTGGTGAGTTTTTGAGCATGTTGCGGCCCCGAAAATGGCACTTACTTTGCAGAAAAAAGAAAAAAAATTAAAGCTGCAAGCAGCGATGGGCGGGCCCTCGCACCTGTAGCGCGTTGGGGTGTGAGGCGGCCGCGTTGCATATTCTGCGGCTCAGCCGGTGCAGCTGTGAAATTTTTCGCTGCTTCGTTAAAGGTCACTTCCTGTTGCCACTAGGTGGCGCTATGACTGTGGGTGAATGTCGGCATGTAGATTTGTTCAGGGCGGGACTCTTGTCAAATGTGTACAATTTCGTGCAGATCTGGGCATTTACAGCCAAGTTACTACAACTTCCTGTTTCATGGTGAATCTTCGACGCTACAGACACGCCCATGGTCGAAACCCGCAGATAGCACAACTTTACATCGTCAATGCCTTTAAAAGGCACAGCAGAAAATTGAAATCGATCTGACTAAATCCCTAGGAGGAGTTAGTTAAAGTACGTAATGAGTAAATCATCCAAAAATGGCGGTAAAATTCGAAATGGCCGACTTCCTGTTGAGTTTAGGGCATTGCTCCAAGAGACTTTTTTTGTGCGTCTGGACACGGTAGATGGACCACAGAAATTTCGTACATGTCGCTCAAACATGCGACGGCGGCTGCTTCGTTAAAGGACACTTCCTGTTGCCACTAGGTGGCGCTATGACTGTGGGTGAATGTCGGCATGTAGATTTGTTCAGGGCGGGACTCTTGTCAAATGTGTAAAATTTCGTGTAGATCTGGGCATTTACAGCCAAGTTACTACAACTTCCTGTTCCATGGCGAATCATCGACGCCACGGACACGCCCATCGGCGAAAACATGCAGATAGCACAACTTTACATCGTCAATGCCTTTAGAAAAGGTACAGCAGAAATTTGAAGTCGATCCGACTAAATCCCTAGGAGGAGTTCGTTAAAGTACGGAGTGTGTAAATCGTCCCAAATCGGTCGCCAAATTCAAAATGGCGGACTTCCTGTCAAGTTTAGGGTATGGGTTCTTGACGCTTTTTTGTACGTCTGGTCATGGTAGATGTACCACAGAAATTTCGTACATGTCGGTCAAACAAGCGGCGGGGGCTGCTTCGTTAAAGGACACTTCCTGTTGCCACTAGGTGGCGCTATGACTGTGGGTGAATGTCGGCATGTAGATTTGTTCAGGGCGGAACTCTTGTCAAATGTGTCAAATTTCGTGCAGATCTGGGCATTAACAGCCAAGTTATTACAACTTCCTGTTTCATGGCGAATCATCGACGCCACTGACATGCCCATCGATGAAAACGCGCAGAGAGCACAACTTTACATCGTCAATGCCTTTAGAAGGCACAGCAGAAATTTGAAGTCGATCCGACTAAATCCCTAGGAGGAGTTCGTTAAAGTACGGAGTGTGTAAATCGTCCAAAAATGGCCGCCAAATTCAAAATGGCGGACTTCCTGTCGAGTTTATGGTATGGGTTCTTGAGGCTTTTTTTGTGCGTCTTGATATGATACACGTCCCCACCAAATTTTATGCATGTAGGTTGAACGTGGACGAGGGGCTAATTTTTTCCAATTTTCTAGGTGGCGCTAGCGTGCCATTTTGCCACGCCCATCCGCGAAACCCACAAAATACAAAATTTTTCACCAGTCCTGACATGCGTGCCAAATTTGGTGAGTTTTTGAGCATGTTGCGGCCCCGAAAATGGCGCTTACTTTGCAGAAAAAAAAAAAAAAAATAAAGCTGCAAGCAGCGATGGGCGGGCCCTCGCACCTGTAGCACGTCGGGGTGTGAGGCGGCCGCGTTGCATATTTTGCAGCTCAGCCAGTGCGGCTGTGAATTTGCTACGCTGCTTCATTAAAGGTCACTTCCTGTTGCCAGCAGGTGGCACTATGATTGTGGGTGAATGTCGGCATGTAGATTTGTTCAGAGCGGGACTCTTGTCAAATGTGTAAAATTTTGTGCAGATCTGGGCATTTACAGCCAAGTTACTAGAACTTCCTGTTTCATGGCGAATCATCGACGGCACGAACACGCCCATGGACGAAAACGCGCAGATAGCACAACTTTACATCGTCAATACCTTTAGAACGCACAGCAGAAATGTGAAGTCAATCCGACTAAATCCCAAGGAGGAGTTATTTAAAGTACGTAATGAGTAAATCATCCAAAAATGGCTGTAAAATTAGAAAATGGCCGACTTCCTGTTGAGTTTAGTGCATCGCTGTAAGAGACTTTTCTGTGCGTCTGGACACGGTAGATGTACCACATAAATTTCGTACATGTCGGTCAAACATGTGGTGGGGGCTGCTTCGTTAAAGGTCACTTCCTGTTGCCAGCAGGTGGCGCTATGACTGTGGGTGAATGTCTGCATTTAGATTTGTTCAGAGCGGGACTCTTGTGAAATGAGTAAAATTTCGTGCAGATCGGGGCATTTACAGCCAAGTTAATACAACTTCCTGTTTCATGTCAAATCATCAACGCCACGGACACGCCCATCGACGAAAATGCGCAAATAGCACAACTTTACATCGTCAATGCCTTTAGAAGGCACAGCAGAAATGTCAAGTCGGTCCGACTAAATCCCTAGGAGGAGTTCGTTAAAGTACGTAATGAGTAAATCATCCAAAAATGGTGGTAAAAATAGAAATGGCTGACTTCCTGTTGAGTTTAGGGCATTGCTCCAAGAGACTTTTCTGTGCGTCTGGACATGGTAGATGTACCACAGAATTTGCGTACATGTCGGTCAAAAGTGTGGCGGGGGCTGCTTCGTTAAAGGTCACTTCCTGTTGCCACTAGGTGGCGCTATGACTGTGGGTGAATATCGGCATGTAGATTTGTTCAGGGCGGGAAACTTGTCAAATGTGTTAAATTTCGTGCAGATCTGGGCATTTACAGCCAAGTTACTACAACTTCCTGTTTCATGGCGAATCATCGACGCCATGGACACGGCCATCGATGAAAACGCGCAGAGAGCACAACTTTACATCGTCAATGCCTTTAGAAGGCACAGCAGAAATTTGAAGTCGATCCGACTAAATCCCTAGGAGGAGTTCGATAAAGTACGGAGTGTGTAAATCGTCCAAAAATGGCCGCCAAATTCAAAATGGCAGACTTCCTGTCGAGTTTATGGTATGGGTTCTTGAGGCTTTTTTGTGCGTCTTGATATGATACATGTCCCCACCAAATTTCGTGCATGTAGGTTGAACGTGGACGAGGGGCTAGTTTTTTCCAATTTTCTAGGTGGCGCTAGCGTGCCATTTTGCCACGCCCATCCGCGAAACCCACAAAATACGAAATTTTTCACCACTCCTGACATGCGTGCCAAATTTGGTGAGTTTTTGAGCATGTTGCGGCCCCGAAAATGGCGCTTACTTTGCAGAAAAAAGAAAAAAAAAAATAATTCTAACAGTTTCAATAGGGTCCTCGCACTGTTAGTGCTCGGGCCCTAAAAATAATAACCCTAACAGTTTCAATAGGGTCCTCGCACTGTTAGTGCTCGGGCCCTAAATATGCATGAAAGCTCAAATTAAAACAACATAGAAACTGCAGTGTTACGCAGTGATAAATAAAACTGTTGGGTGAAGCGGTCACAGCCATGTTTTATCATGAATAATCAGAATCAAGGATTGGAACTAACCTCCTCTCTCCCCTGTGCCAGTAGAAATGATGTTTGTGGTAAATACTTAAATACTAAAAGTGTCATCTATTGAGATTAACTTTGACTAGTGATTATCGCCTTGCTTCTGTGGATATTCAAACTATGGCAACAACCTCAATCGCCACGGCTCTCAACTTACCAACACTGTAAGAGTGTGAGGAACTCAAAGACCTTCCTGGAGTTAATGACCTGCTCCAGACTATATCCATCCCGAAACTGAGAGTATCTGACAGTGAATGTGGAGGAGAAGAAAGAGAACGGAAGTCTTTTGTTATCTGGGATAAGGTAAAGAATTAATTCATAGAAATAAACTGTCGCTCAAACTCACGGATTATTGGTTGAATGCTTGTGGTTCTTCCAAGCAATTTTAGCAAAATGCTCTGGTTTTGTGCCTGGAGATGACAGACAGCTTCTGTTACAAAAGGAACCAGACTGCAGTTTCCTGGATCAATCTAAAATCCACATGATAGAGTATCACCCACATCTTACCGTACTTCTCCATGTGTTCTCTACCAGCGTTGCCGAACATCTGAGATGCAATTGGCGCTGCCGTCATCCCATAACAGTTGATCATCACCTCCAAGTGCTTGTCCAGAGGGTTGGTTCTGTCCATGTACTGCAAACCCATGAGCAGATGATATTAGATGCTTCATCACTGGTATTATAAAAGAGCTGTGAGCTGTACTGTACCTTTGAGGATAGTGAACCTCTTTCCATCTTTTCAAAGCCCAAGGCAAGAACACAATCAGCCAAACCTAAATGCAATAGTTTTTGTTGAACAATTGATCAGATAAATGCAGTCTTGATGAGCATAAGAGACTTCTTTCAAAAACATTTAAAACATGTTTAATATTCCAAACTTTTGACTGGAAGTCTATTGAAATAGAAACAGTGATTTTAAATTGTAACAATATTTCACAATATTACAGTTTCACTGTATTTTTCATCAAATAAATGCAGCTTTGTTGAAGCATCAAACCCCAAATAAAAAACAACAACTAAACATTTAAAAATATCACTATTAAAAAAAAAATAAAAAAATTAACAGCATAGCATTTGCTGTGGTATCAAAAATCACATTATCAACTATGAAATTTCATTTCTAATCAAAAAAAAAAAAAAAAAAAAAAAAAAGATTGAATTTATAGTACAGTCCAGTATAGGCAGGCTTATGATGAACATCTCACCTCCCTCAACGAGCTGACGAGCCATAAACAGCGCTGTGGAGCCGGTAGAGCAGTTATTATTGACATTAATTATTGGGATCCCGGACAGACCCAGACTGTGATAAATAGCCCTTTGGCCACATGTCGAGTCACCTGCAGAAATACAGAAAAAACCCACATTCATCCAACACTGATATCAGATTATGAATTTGAATTAAGGCATTCAAAAGTTAGTTCACCCAAAAATGAAAATTCTGTCATTATTTATGCACCCTCATCTCATTTCAAACCCATAAGACTTGCGTTCATCTTCGGAACACAAAGTAGTATTGACAGCTACACAACTACAACTTTGACGCTTTAAAAAAAAAAATCATAAAGAAATCACAAAATTAATCCACATGAATTGAGTGTTTTAGTCCAAATTTAGTCCAAGGCATGATCACTTTATAAAATGAACTGATTTGAGCGTTTATACATATAACACTCATCAGTTGTGATAAACAGAAGCGCAGGCATCTTTGCTTGATGTGCAAGAACCAATGACGTTCATTCTCGTGTTGCGCAGCACGTTTGAACCAATGTTGTTTGTTCTCGTGCATTACGCAGGTTTGGTTGAGCTTCTGTTTATGTTCACTGATCAATGTTTATATGTAAATAAAAGCTTAAATTAAATCGTTTCATCGTATAAAGAGATTGAGTCACTTCAGAAACTTTTGGACTGAACCACTCAATTCATATGGATTCGTTTTACGATCTGTTTATGACCTTTGTGAAGTGTCAAAGTGGCGTGGCTGTCAATGGAGGGACAGAAACCTCTCAGATTTCATCAAAAAGATTCATTCGTCTTCCGAAAATGAACAAAAGTCTTAGGGGTTTGGAGCAACATGAGGGTGAGTAATTAATGACGGAATTTTCATTTTTGGGTGAACTATCCCTTTAAAACCATGTTGACATGTTAAATATACCCTTTGCTGACTTAAGAATGACGTACCGTACACGTAGCCTACACATGCTTGCTGGATGGCAGTGTAGTTTATTCCAGCATCCATCAGCGCTCTCTCCCCTGTGCCACAACAGAAATGATTCAAGAACAAACATTCATATTTCTACAATAACAGATGAGCTTCAGCAACTGCACCTGCTTCTTTGGCCATGTCTGGGTAATCGATGTCTCTCCCACCCGGCTTTTCAAACTAAAAAACAGGACAAAAGTATCTTTGAAAAATGACACTTTGAAGCTATGTAGTTTAAATAGTTGCCTGGAATTTTAATAGTGCATATTCTGTTAATTGGATTTATTGGGACAAATAAAACCCAATAAAACGTATTAACTTACTTACTTATTATTAAAAACCTATTGTGCCTATATATTATCATATTAAACCTATATTATTTATGAAGGGATGTGAATGATATACAATGTAAAAAGTTGGAAAAACAACAACAACAACAACAACAACAAAAAGTACCACCCCTGAAATCATACTTCCGCGTATGGTGTGCCGCAATAATAATAATCATCATATTTATTTTATTCTAACAGTGTTAAGTTACTTGATACAACGACAGTCATGTAACGTTGAGGTTGAAATGAGCTCGGACCTTTCACATGATTGCGTCAAGCACGTTCATTGTACACAGTAACCCATGACATAATTCAGGGTCATATTTACAGATTATCCATTTTGCGTTTCTGTGAAAGTCTAGGACACTGTGTACAAAGATCAGAGTCACACACGCGCACAGTGATTTTTTGATAAGAAACTTTGCATAACGTTAACTATTTTTAATGGAGTTAAAACACGAATTTTGAGCACTAAACCTCCACACTATGTATGCCTTTAGCAATAAGGCTAGTTACTGTACAACTATTAACGAGACACCATGCTAACTGTAAATGTGTAATAGTTTAATCAAACATATTCGGCGAAAACAGATGTCAAATACCAGTTTATACTTTTTATTTTATAAAACTCCAGCAGGATTAGCTGTAACGTTACTACTACCACAGTATGATGATCAATCAGAGCAGTCCAGGGCTAGGCTACAACAACAAACCAGACAATAACAGATCACTAGTATATAAGGCCACTCAGATGTGTTTACCTTGGTCATTCCCACCCCGATAACAAACACCCTGTTTCTTGCTGTAGCCATCTTCAGGTCTGCGTAGTGTGACTGCTCAACTGGACTTCACTACAGCATGTAGCCTTGCTCACAGCAGCAGCTGGTTATAAACACACCGACCGGGTGCAGTACAGCGAGTGTCACACAGATGGCGATCTATCCTCAGCACTGATCAGACAGTCAACTCGAAATGAACATGATATTACGACAAAAAGTGAGAAGTAAAAAAGGGACACGACGTATGATGGCAACTGGCAACATAACCCCGCTTAAAACAGAACCAGAATATGGTTGGTCTTAGGCTGATCTAAGAGTTTAGGCCACTTTACATGGTCAGGCTGGGAGACCAGCTTAAAACACTACATCCAGCTATTTAGGCTGGTTTTAGCTATTTGTTTCTTCAGCAGTTCCTTAAAAGTTCCGGTAACACTTTATTTTACGACCCGCAAACAACTGTGTAAGTACACCGAAATTACGGTGTACGTTTCTGTTATAGTGTACTTCCGTGTAAGTATACGGGAACAATATGTTAAGTTTGGGGTAATAAAGGGGTAACAAGCAGATACAACCTGCAAATAACTTCGTAAGTATATAGGCTACACTGAAATTACGGTGTATATTTCTGTAATTATGGTGTACTTCAGTGTTGGTATAATTGGGGAACAATATGTTAAGTTTGGGGTAAGGGGGTAACAAGCAGATGTACAAGCAAATTATTTAATTAGTTAAAAAATAACAGGTACCTATTCTGTTAATATATTCCAGGCAAAGTTTGTACGTCTGTTTTTTTATAAAATGTATCACATTTCTGGCAAAACATGTTCAGGATAATTTTGACATCTGTGGGTTGAAAATTAAACATATATATATATATATACTGTATATATATATATATATATATATATAGGCTATATATATATATAGGCTATATATATATATATATATATATATATATATATATATATATATATATATATATATATATATATATATGTATTGGCTTTTCTTACTAGATTACTAGAAAAGTCAAAATAATTTGTTTCTGCTATGATTTTAATTTAGACCGTACCATGTGGTAATTAGTACTTGCCTTATCCCATTGAATTGCAATGACACTTAAATGTCAGGGCAAATATACTAATTAATACTTTTTTTTTCTTTTCTTGATAACAGTACCTTTCTCTCTAATTACAGTGCAAAAAGTGTTGTTTCGTTTTGCTACATAGTAAGTAGCGTTTGTTACCCCCTTGTTCTGCAGTTACAGGGCAAGTGTAACTCCTGCGGGCTGTAAATTAAAGTGGTGCTTGTTACCCCTTTATTACCCCAAACTTAAAATATTGTTCCCTTATACTTAGACGGAAGTACACTATAATTACAGAAACGTACACTGTAATTTCGGTGTACTTACACAGTTGTTTGCGGGTCGTAAAATAAAGTGTTACCAAAGTTCCTTTTATTCATAGCAGGATCTAGATTAGCAGTAGGCCTATATTTTTTATTTAATTTGCAGTTTTAATTTTAGTTGATTGACTAACACTAAAAGAATGTTCAGCACTGCAAATTTACCTGCCATAGATCCTAATGGTCTGAAAAGAGATTCCAAACTTTATTATTGTTACACAAATAATATAGCCTACAGTCGATCTCACGCAGAAAGAACGTGTTCTTCAACTACCAAACACCAATCAGTGGTGTAGTTATGTAAATCTTCAATCAGTAACCAGAGTGGGAACATGGTCTCCAAATATAGCCTGATATGGGTTCGAAGATCTTCCTTAAGTTCTTTGAATTAAAATGCCACAGATCTTTCTGTTTCCTGACATGGGGTCATTTAGAGACTGAAATCTCCAGCGCTCCCAAAGATAAGAGAGTATGATTGAATCTTTGTTGTCTTTGTCAATCTTAATCTGAAGTTTGTACTAAATGTCTGTTTCATGTGTTGCACGGTTGTCGTTATCTGACATTGTTTACTCTTCGACAGATTTCCATTCGTTTCAAAATCCAAATGCACCCAAGAGCTAAATGCAACTAAAAAGCAATATCTATTGCAAATTGGTTTCCTGAGTAAATGATGGGTACATGCCTCATAGTCCTTAGCATAGATATCCATAATAAAGTCTCTATATCGTCATCACCGTCAGCCAGCCATCTTGTCTCCCGTCGGCCAGCCATCTTGTCTCTAAACTCTGTGAACTTACTTGAGTGATCTGCACGAACACAAATACTCTTATCTTGCTGAAATCTTGACTGATTTACAAACGGTTTGATTTCTTACTTTATTAACGTTGCTATTAAACTGGATGTTTGAACAGCAGCTTTTCTTTTCAAAAATGACTTAATCGTGCAGCATAGTTGTGTATCACGACAAACGTTAACTTGCTTGCGCACGTTATCAAGGCTGAGAATCGAGCTGTTCAAATAAAGGTTTTACTGACACCAATAACAATTTTATGACAACTAATCTTGTCTTAATTACAATCTTTGTAGTAGCCCATGGAATGCCAAAGCTGAATTAATTAAAAATAAATAAATAGATACAAAAAAAAGCAAAAATATATAAATAAATATACAAAGGAATGTAAAAAAAGTAGAAATAAATGAGTATTTTTATGGTAAAGTAAAAATGAATCAGGAAAGATACATTTTAAAATTTTTGGAGAGATTTGATATGACTCACTGCAAACCAAGATCAAGCCCGTGTGAAATCAAAGTCAAATTTGACAATGATGGAGAACCTGTTGACTTAAAGAGGTATCGTGAAGTGATTGACAGTTTAATCTATATGATGACAGGTACTCGCCCAGATTTAAGCTTCATTGTTAGTAAACTGTCACAATATCTAAAGGGAACCAAAAGAACAACATTGGGTGGCTGGTAAACATGTTTTGAGGTATTTTAAAGGTACAGCAGACTTGGAATTATGTTATAAGAAAAGTGATGTATCTGAAACTTGTGGCTTATAGCGATGCAGACTGGGCAGCAGACTTAAATGACAGGGATACATGGCCCTGTCTAAAAATGGCCCTGTTGTCTTTTGGAAGTCTAAGAAACAACAAACTGTTGCCTTATCATGTGAAGCAGAATACATGGCGTTATCAGCTACTACACAAGAAAGCTTGTATCTGACCAATCTAATCAATGGAATGGATAATGTATCATCAGATACATTATCCATACAGACAATCAGAGTGCTATTGGACTTTCAAAGAAGAAATTCTGGAAGAAATGGTTCTATGTAAAGTACACATCTGCCACAGCTATTTACAGCATTAGTAAGCAGGAAATGCTCGGAAAGATAATGCACAATACATTAACAGGGCTCCTGGGATATGCAGGAAAATTGTTGGCCACTTCTCCCATAGCTAGAAGAAAAAAGTGGCCCAGAGCATGCCATGGTGATAAGATGGGATTCCACTCAGAAAATGATAGCAAGAATCCTGGAGCAGCAAAATGGGTTGTCCAGGGTTCTCTCTAAAGACCGCAAAGTGTGACACCTACTGCTCTCATATGGCAAGACCTGGAGGGCCTAATCTGTGAACAAGGCACTCAGCCCACTGCAGGACTTTAGGGATGATCTGTCAGGTTATATGAGTAAATCTTGGGTGAAGTCTGTTCTGCATCTTCTGAACACCTCAGTACTGGCTGAAGAGGAAAAGGACCTGATCAAATCACTCAAATCTAAAATTCTAAAATACCTCAATGAGGAAAATGAAGGCATCCTGCTAAACATGTTTTGTTTCACAGTTAACATTCTCAAAGGTGGTCCTGGCATGAGAAGAGGGGATGGTCTGCAAGCGAATTGGAGTGGGTAACTTCAGTCTATTATCCCCCAAATCCACCTTGACACTCCAGGGATGGCCTGCCATGCCCTTAGTCGAGTGGCAAATATCATTTCATTGGTTTCAAATAGGTTGATGGCTGTGAGGCACATTCAACAGCTAGAAGAGGTGAGGAGGGCGAGGCTTCAGTCTTCTTTGGAGCAGCAAGATAATCTTCACAATGAAATCCTATTGCTTTCTTGCTATTGTCTTTCATTACAGACAAACATTTTTTTCTCATCATGTTTTTAAAAGGTAAGTGATTACCCATAATTTAACTAATTTGTTAAAAAAAAAAAATCTGAATTCATGAAAAGTGCATGACACATTGCAATGGTCAATTGTACAGTTTAGTGGTCAGATATTAGGAATATTACAAAAAGTGAGAGGATGCTGATTCAGACCAACATCATGGTTGCTATTATACAATAGTTCAATAAAATGTTTTGTTTTACAACTGTAATAAACAAGAGTTAACATAACAACAATAATTGCCAGTTTGTGTACAGTTCTAAATTAATTTAAAGCAAAGTCTGTTTATATACAATTCAATGAGTCACCCATAATGATGTCATGTTGCCACTGTTTTATTGCATACGATGGTTCAATAAGCATCAAGTTAATATTGAGTAACTTACATTTTTTGACATAATGTTACCAGTTACTGTCAGTCAAAATTTGGAGGAAATATTAAAAATACATTATAATAAAATATATTACAGAAAATGCTCATTTCCAAGAACACGTCAAAACAAACACGTTGAACGATAAATAAATTAAGAGTATTTTCAAGACATTTATAGTCATATCTGTGTCAGATTCAATAAAAATCACTTTAATACATTTAATAAATTGAATTTTTCATAAAATATAATAAAAGTAATATCAACAAAAACTCTTTGCAGAGGTGAAAGAAGTTGCATCTGAAGGGAATTTTTCCACTAATTAGGCTACAGAGAATGTTGGACTAACATATGATGTTCCTGTCATCAACCTTATTGTTAACTATGTTCAAGTGTTTATAATGTTAAGTGATGACATCATTTTATAGGTTAAATCTTGTTCAGATCAAGCTGCATTGTGGTGTATGCTCATGTTTGTATTACTCCATTACACCCTAGTGAGAAAATCGAATATGTTTTGTATATCTATTCAAGTTGTTTTAGTGAGTTTAATTAAGCCTAAGTCTTCTTCGGGGCAGCGAGATAATCGCTTCATTAACCCCTTGGAGCCATGTGGATTACTATTATAATGAGATGGACTTTTTGGGGTTTCACATTTTGGGCTCCCCTTCACTGCCTTTATAAAGCTTGGATTAGCCAGGACATGAAAGAAGAATGATATTTACACATAAGATGGCCTTAGGGTGAGTAAATAACGGCTGAACTATCCCTTTAAAGCACCAACAAAGAGCCATGTTTTTGCATTGGGTAGCCTATATTGTTGACAGTCAGTATCCTGGCAACCTCGTGTTCACCAGGAGTGTAGAGGATCAGGTGTCTTGATGCTTCACAATATGTCAGACAAAGGGGTTTGCAAAGTCATTGCCTTTTTATGTCCAGAGGTGCAATTCCAATTAATGCAAAAGAGAATACTGACAGACAACAACGAGTGTAGGAATAGCACATTTACACATCAGACAAACATACATGAAAGGATGGAACCTTGCTATCATCATCTTATCTGGTAAGTAAGCTTACAGACGCGATACCTTTGACATTTTCACAAACCCATTTTTGGGTTTTTAATGAGAAACACATTTGTTCTGCTCAGGTGTACCATGTTATAGAAGTGTCTCACGTTAGAAGTGCGTAATAGTTTGGTTGAAGGAATGCTAGACTTACTGAAACTTAATTGAGTTTTGATTCACTGATGACATAGAACTCATTAGACAAGAACCCAATAGGATTTTTCCAATGGGTCTTGGTTATTGCAGAAAAAAAAAGTTCTGCGATTAACAAACGTTTATGTTTTGAATATTTTGTTCATCATGATAATTTCACAAATGAAGTCAACTTTTATAAATTTTGAAGCCTAAATACAATTAGCAGAAGTAAAAAATACACCACGGTCACATGACTTCAAAGTCACGATCATTAAGCTGACAATTTCTTCAGTCTTTCTATAAAAACATTTTCCCTTAAAAGTCTGAGTTATAATAATTTGCAAGATAACACAACGATGCTTTGAAAGTGGACTAGATTAGTTTACCTGTTCGGCTGGTAATGTTTAATGTCCTCGACAACCTAGTCCTATTTTTGTTAGGGATAAAGTAAAAAAATATCCTGAAATATCTCATTTTTATTTTTAATTTGGTAAAAAAAAAAAAAAACACATTAACCCTCCAATTATCTTTGGGGTCAATTTGACCCCATTAAATGTTTAACGTCTCTAAATATTTTTTTTTTTTTTTTTTTTGCTTCTGATTTAATGACTTTTCCTAATTTAATGGGGACAACTCTATAAACATAAAATTAATCTGCTGATATTTTTTTTCAATGTCCTGTACACATTTTGTAGCATCGGTGTTCCTTGGCTCCCAGGCTCTTTTAGCTGTATAAAACAGAAGACATATTAAAAGTTCACACACATTTGTTTCGGTTGTTTTATTGAGGTCAATATAACATGTTATTTTAATTTATTTCAATATCATATTAAAAAATGTCCCTCTGTTTTAGGGCTTTAACCAAACATAACCATTTCTGTAGTATTGTGAGAACCTCCAGTAGCTCCATAATTCTCATGAGAACTAATAATTATTTCCTGTGCCAGGTTGGAGGGGAAAACATAATTTTTGCGAGATTGACCCCAAACATAACTCGTGTTACTATCCTTGATAAAATAATTCGTTTTTCTTTCCAAATGCTATAGATTACAAAAATATATACTTAGAAATATTATAAAACAAATAAAACACCAAATATATTTATACTTTTCCAATTTTAGGTAAATGAGTAAGATTTTATGCATTAAAATGATTTTATGCATTAAAATGATTTATGATTTTAGTCGTGCAATGGGTATTCTGGATGTATAAGGGGTTAGGTGGGGAGGTTGGTGGATGTCAACTTAAAAGGTTACTTATAGTCAACAAAGACATTCCCTGAGACAAACCTTCCGATCACTTAAAACACGTAAAATTTTTTAAAAAAAGTCAGTTTGTATAGCCTATATACTGTATATTCCCAATATATTCCAATGCATACACATGACTGTGTGATCTCTCTAGTTTTCTCTTTAAAAAAATGTAGAGATAGTGGTAGTTGCTCTTTGTGTTATAAAACAATAATACGCTAAAATCCTTCAGCCAATTGACACTCTCAGGAACTTTAGTGAAAGAATACATGAATAATTAATGTTACTCACAGTTATGGTCAATGTTTTATTGTTGTGTAAAACCTCAGCAAGTAGTTTAAATTAGCATGGGCCTAACCGTCAACTTTTGAGATTTAGTTTATCAAAAGAATGTGAATAGACTGCATTACTTTGATAGTGGCAGCTCAAACACTTACAGATGGGAACTCACAATGACATTCTATTGTTTTCTTGTTATTGTGTTTCATTACAGACAAACATTAATTTCTCATCATGTTTTTGCAAGGTAAGTGATAGTTTAACCATTTTAATAAAACAAAAACATCTGAATTCATAAAAGTGACATTGCAACGGTCAAGTGTACATATTACATATTACTAAGCTGTTTTACATATATTTTGTACATATTACATATTAATAAGTACTTTTATGGCGGGACACTAGTTAATGATCTTGGAGATTACCAGGAAACAGGTTCAGTCATGAGAAATTGCAACCAATGAAGTGCATTGTCACTGTAATGGCATGACACTTTTCTGGTTTTAGAACTTAATGATCTAATCTGTTTAATAATTTATAATATTTTTATTTGCATTCTTTTTAAATGTAGACCAGAGAGGAGAAGCAAATGTACCTGCGGACAATGTACCTGTAGCACCCGGTGAGAATTCAGCTACCTTTTCTACAGCAGCCATAAAAAAAGATTACACATGAAATCAAGACAATCTGCTCATGCATTTGACAATCTTGTAAAATGAACAAGTCTTCATAGTAAAAATTACATTTTATTGGGGTTACCCTTGTGAAGGAAAAGTAAACTATTACAAAGCACACTGTAACAAGGTTAGATGTTGTAGGAAGAAGGAGGTGGGAACAGGCTAACAGTCGACAGACTTTAATAACAAAATAAAACAAATACAAAACGAAAGTAAAAGACACTAATCATAAACAAAACACAAGATCAGGGCTGTTCCTCTCTCTATCTTCCCTGTCGTCTCTCATCCTGTATGCTTCCGCTCTTCCGTGAGAGATACGAGACCTTTACGTTGCACAGGTGTCACTCATTATCAATCACGCCATCAGCCTCACGCCGTTCTCTCACGGCCTTCGACCTCGTCCTTCTCACCACACACACACACTTTTAAAAAGAGTTCTCATTACTGAATTCTATAGTAAATTGAGCTAGTCTCTTCAGTCACACACACGATTACTAATTACCTGCACCTGCATCAGCACGGCACTCAATGCACACCCTATGGCTGTGTCCGACTCCGAAAGGGTATTATTTGAAGGGACAGCCATTTTAAGTAGTGTGCGAAACCATCGTGGACATTACCGAATGCACTCATTTATTCCCACAATGCACCAGTAACGAGTTGGCCTAACTCCGGCACAAAATGAACCTTTGGTCTAATAAAACTTCAGTACCTAGTTAACCGTTCTCTGAGATTTGTTTTCAAGATGATCAAATGTAAAGAGTTTAATCTCTAAAAACGGTTTATGGGAGCATTTATTATGCATGCAGGGACCCTGATTATGTTACTGTGTTAGTGTGGGGCTATTTTGAGCCTTGTTAGTGGTATTAACTAGCGATTTCTTTTTACTTATTAAATGCCCCCATATACTAGCGTTATATACTAAACAGTTTTAGAGATAAAACTCTTTACATTAGATTATCATGAAAACAAATCTCAGAGAATGGTCAACAAGTACCAATGTTTTATTAGACCAAAGGTTCATTTTGCACCAGAGTTCTCCTTAAAGGCCCACCAGGTTCTGGGATTTGACATGGCAAATCACTATTGGTCAAAAGCTGTAATCTATTGCAAAGCTGAAAATGACATATTGTGATTATTGAGGTCAATATTGCAAATGCAATTTCGATATGTGATTGCGATATAATAAACAAATGGTTTCATAAGTCAAATATTTTTTTACGAAATTGAATATTGACATCTTTGCATTACTGCAAACTTGTTATTTGTCTCAATAATACAATAGTAAAAAATTAATGTCATATTTACCAGTGCCCTACTGTCTAACAGGTAGGCCTGATATACTGTATACCGAAATTGAATTAAACAGTCTGCATTGCATAAATTATAAATGAAATATAGACTAATCCTTATTAAAGCTAAAAAGTTATTTAGTCAAGAGCAGTTAGTAATTTTCTCTGTTCTTTTTGTTATTTAAATAAACTTTACTGACAGAAAGCTTTCTTGGCTGCTGTCTATTTAAGACCAGACTACTGACAGAGATGCGACCTCACACGCGGCTTATTCTCTCACAACTCTTCAAGTTCATCATACGACTGCTCTTATGTTTTGAAGATACTCGACAAAATGGACATTTTGGCTTAATTGTGTGTGTTATTGTAAGTTCAAGCACGAAAGAGAACTGTATTCTGGAGTGCTGTCTGATCACATGTTACTGGCATGTGTCTTTCTCTCTCTTTGTGTGTCACACAGTCACACTTTTGTCTTGTCGCACATGAATGGTTTAAAAGCATTTGCATGAATTAGAGTGGGATCATATAATATAATATACACTTTTTAAAATTCTGATTGGATAATTATCAAGATCGAGGCCAAGCCTTGTGTATACTTATTTTATGTCGCACAAGAAAAAAACCCCAACTCTTATCACAGAGAGCTCCTCTCTGCACAAGGGCCCCTATATAGTAAATCTGGGCCAGTCACAATGAGTACTCTGTCTCCTGAGTCTGGTCAGACGGTCGTAGGCCTCTTGTGAGGCCTCCCAGTTAGACAAGTGTCCAGACGCTCTGTCTTTGGACAGACAGGCAGATGACCAGACTGAAGTGTCCAATGTAAGTGACGCCAGGTCAGCCCTTCTTGGTTGCATTTCGGGTGAGCATGTTCCCCTGAATTGTGATTGGCTGGGGCTCCTTCAGGTTCCCTAGCCACATTCCCTAGAAGGGATCCCTTCTAATTTGAAGCTGTGGTCCTATGCCCTTGAGCAGGCCCAGGTAGGCCTTTTCATTAAACAACGTTTATGGAGTTTTTTCTGTGAAGCGTATAGTTTGGGCTATGACCGTAGGGAATGCTGTCACTGACAGCCCAGTGTGACCTGAGGGTGAATGGTTCTGGCATTTCATTTGAATTTTGCTAATTTTGACAGTTGTCATGGCCAATGGGCATGCTCTCCCCTTAGCATGGTGAAATGGATATATACTTCCCAAATGTGTCAATGGGAAGATCTTCGAATTCTCCTTCGAGTGGGAACATCTCAGGTTACAACTGTATCCTTTGCTCCCTGTGAACAGGGAATGAGACACTGCGTGTGGGCCTGCCTTGCAAACAGTCCCTTCAGATGATCAGGTCAATGTTATGTTTACAGGGTGCCCTTATATACTTCCGGGTCACATATTGATAATGTCATGGGCTGTCGCCGGTCAATAGGATTGCTGTGATTTGATAGTTGTTTCAGACAACTGTCACACCTAAGGCGTTCCCCAATGCGTCAATCAACTCAGTGTCTCATTCCCTGTTCTCAGGGAACAAAGGTTACAGTCGTAACCTGCAGCACAGTATTGACTGACGTCGTGGGACGTCTTTTGACCATACGTCAACATCCGCCTTTTTAGGGTACCCTTAAACGTCGGTTAGATGACGTTATCGGATCCTAACACTACCTCAGACCTAAACCTACCCCGTCACCTAACTGACATTAAAGGTAAAGCGTCAGTTGTATGACGGCCCGGGATCGTCAACTAACCGACGTTTAAGGTTACCCTAAAAAGGCGGATGTTGACGCATGGTCAAAAGACGTCCCAATATGTCAGTTATATGACAACTTGGGATGAGACTGTGTTATAACCTGAGACATTCCTCATCAGCACCACACTCAGACCAGTATAAAACACACATTCGGTCACTCCTTGTCTGGCTTCGCAAGGGTCACAGACTCCTTGTCTGCTCTACTTAGCATAGTAGTTCGGTTTGCATGTCTCCATCGATCGCTGAGATTCCTTAGGTAATATTCCCTGTAATATCTCCAGTGACACCTGTGTGGATATACTCAGATGATACTTACCATATGCTCATCCTGTGGTATGTGGTCTTCCGTAAACACCATTTCCATCTGCAACGGAACTCAGCAAATACCTTGTTGCACAAAACTATAATCATCACTGTCAATGAACTGTCTGACTGCACTATTATTACCCGCTTTTAAAAATTATACTTTTAAAGATTTTAAGGTCACTGCAAGTGCACATTCTATACAATTATGCACAATTTTTGTTACAAGGGTACATACAGTACAGTATGGGTAAATGTTCTTATTTCAACATGGCAGGCAAATTTCTACCTATGAAATGTTTTCATTCCTTTTCACTCCATGTCTGAACATGTACATCTGATAGTTAATGAGATTTTCTGTTTCTACTATAGTATATACCATTGGCCCTCATCCAGGAAGAAATGAAGTTTATCCTACACCACCAGCAGGTAAAATTAGTTATTTTTTTCTTCATGAATAATGTGTTTATATAGTTCACATTTTCTTTTCTACTGCAGGTTATTTACCACCTCAAGTCCCAATGGTCATGCCAGTCCCAAACAGACCCCTTGGCTGTCCTCCAGGTCTGGAGTACCTGATCCAGGTGAATAACAGCATAACTTGTGATTTCAATGAAGTGAGCATTTCAACTCTCAAAATAATCATGCTCTTTCACATTATTCTAACCCAAATGGTCAGACAAAATAAAAATAAAATAAAAACTGAAAGGGTCGGAAGCTTATTGGTGTGACGTTGAAGTCATGTGACGGGGTTTAGTTGGTTTATAGTCTAGATTTAGCTTTGTTAGTTCTTTATTTGTGAAGAATATAATGATGAATACAATGTGTATGAATCATACACATTCTGCAGTAGTGCTATAAACGATGGAAAAAATCCTATTGTGGTTTTGTTGTGGGAACTAAGTTGGTGGTACTTCCGGGTTGTACTAAAAAAAAGATATGCCCTCGGTTTCACAGACAATGCATAAACCAATCCCAAACTAAAATGCATGTTTGAGCTGTTTTAACTGAAAGCAACTTACAGTGACATATCTTAAAATATGTCAGTGCCATTGTTTTGTATCAGCCTTATCAGGAAGGCTATTCCAGAGTTTAGGAGCTAAATGTGAGAATGCCCAGACCAGAAGCCTAGAATTTAGTGATCTTAAAGAATGTGATGGATTATAGGGCGATAGAATGTCCATTAAATACACAGGTGCTAGAGTGGTGTAACATATGAAATAAGATTTTCGAAAGACAAGTTGTGGCCTAGGTCTTTTACTGTAGTGGATAAAGTAACAGGACATTATTCCAAATTAAAGTTGTATTGTAAGAGGTTTTGTGGGTACTTTTTTGGACCAATAAGTTTTATCTGAATTTAATAGCAGGAAATTACACATCCTCCAGCATTTTATATCTTTAAGACAATTTAGATGTCAATTTAGATGAGTTAGTGTTTTCATCTGGTCGTGATGAAATATATAATTGAGTGTCACCAGCATAACAGTGGAAATTAATTCCATGTTTTCTTATAATATTACCAGCATATTGAGAATAGAAGAGGGCCTAACACCGATCCTTGTGGCACTCCATTTTCCCCCATTTTAACAGACAATATGGTAACAGTCTGATAAGTACGATCTAAACCAGCTTAATCCCTGTCCTTGAACACCAGTGTAGTTTTGTAGTCGATCTAAGAGTATTTTATGATCTATACTGTGTCGAACACAGCACTAAGATCGAGTAGAAATAGTATTGAGATACAGCCTTGGTCAGAAGCCAAAAGTAAAAAATTTTAACTAGCGCAGTTTCTTTGCTATGATGCGGTTTGAATCCTGACAGAAATTTTTCATAGATATAATTTTCTTGCAAGAAATTGAGTGGACACAACTTTTTGTAGTATTTCAAACATAAATCGAATTTTATTACTGCCAGCTTGAATATTCTAGGAACATGACCTACTTAATAATACTGAGAGAAGTCTTTTCCACTACTGGTAACACGTCTTTCAGTGCATTTGATCTAGTAAACATGTTGTTGGTTTAGATGCAATGATAAGTTTATTTAGCTCTTCCTGTTGAAGATTCAAAATCTCTTCATTTAATGTTGTTTTTAGTACTATTATTATTTTTATTAATATTCATAATATGTATCTGTTTTATTACACACACATTATCATTTGTAAACTTTGCATTTTGTAATTATAATGTTTTGAAGATGTGGGAGAGAGAGAGAGACTTTAGGAGACTTTGTGATAAGTTAAACTGTATGAGTGAATGTATGTTGAGGTGAGACTGAAAGTTTATGCAGTGTATAGTTTCCATCGGGATTGGATATACATTCCATTGTTAATGGGAACCACATGTTCTTGTGGTAATGCATGTGTTACTATGGTGATGCAGTTTTTTTCTTGGTCAGTAGTATTTAAACTAAGACCCTTTGTTTGAAAAGCAGGAAGAGATGGTAACGATGCAGAATGAAGACCTCTGTTTCTCTTCCTCCTATGTCTTTTAAATATTATAAATAATTTCGAGAGATCTCTTGGCAAAATCACTGCAAAAAAGTTTTAGATCTACACTGTTCTAGTTGTAAAGCGGTGTAGTTGTTCTTGAGGAGCGATTATTGAGGCTGAATCATAAGACACCATGAAAGATTGTACATTTACAATTGTGTTTCGGATGCTTTCTATATTCTCAGTGAAGAAACAATGTAATGATCAGTGACATCATCACTTTGCGGTATAATATGGATTGGTTCCATATGATATCAATAATTACTAAACCTTTCCTGTCCTTGGCGGTACATGGGAAGCGGTCCAGACACAATGATTGTTGCTTCAGGCGATACGCTGCATACCGTCTCGATCAGGCACCTGTAGTCCTTCGTCAGAACCTCCGTCTGCCGCAGCCTGATGTCGTTCACTCCCACGTGCAGCACAACAGCTCCGACGCGCTCGTCACGTTCAGGATCTCCGTACGTCCTGTGCAGAGAAACACAAAGTAGACGAGGTCGGAGTCAACAAGTTACTGACCACCCAGACAGCAAACTGACATTGAATCAACGTGGAAACAACGTCTCTCATGACATTGAAACAACGTTGATTTGCTCATCGAATTAACGTTGAACCAACGTCAGACGCGGCATTCTTCAAAGCTAAATGAAATCGAAAATTGGTTTGCTTTCATAACGTTGAAACAACGCGTTGATTTCAAGTTGATTTTCCGTTAGTTTTGAAAGAATGACGCGTCTGACGTTGGTTCAACGTTAATTCGATGAGCAAAACAATGTCAGATCAACGTTGTTTCGATGTCATATTTCCACGTTGATTCAATGTCAGTTTGCTATCTGGGCACTGACTTGTGAGCATCGGTGCATGATGTTTCAAGCGCTGATCGCTGATTTCGCAGCCTGGCTTGCCTCTCTTGTAGATCACGGATCTGCTTCTCCACGGAATGTGTCCTCACCTGCACTCAGAGGTAACGTTAGACACACATCCGATATATTCGCCATTACAACAGATGAACAATAAATTGGTAGTGATACTACCAATATCACTACTAATTTAGGACTGAAATCCTGGATAGAACCCGTATCCTTTCAGTGAAATGGGTGTAAATGAGACGATCGATAGGCGAGAGACCACGCGTACAATGCTAGCGGGCTTAAGGCTAGTGGTGGGAAATTGAAAAGTTGGATATAAGTAGTGATATCAAAGCAATCCGATTGTTTTTTGTAAGGAATAGTATCGAAGTTAAGCTTACATGCTGCAAAAATAGAAAGTGCTTGTTTATAAATGAGTGGTAAAGAATAAAATCAAGGATATATGAATCAATTCGACGGAGCTCCAAACAGAAACTACGTATGCACCATTTCCTATTCAGAAACTTTAATTTTTTTTTTAATACACATGCATAAACATTATTCTCTCAAAAATATAAACATATACATACATGTTGCTCACATATTATGGTAGCCCTGTTTGTGCTAAACAGAGTGTAATGACACCTTTGTCATTAATATGTTTATAAGCAACTGAAAAAAGCACAAATGTCAGGGCATGTCAGAACATCTCAAGGACTCCAAAAACACCTTAGACCACAGAGGGTTAAACCAATTCTTACTAAAGGTGGATTTACACAAATGGTTTAATGACTTGCGTCATTTTTGTAATACACGCAAGTCCCGAGTTGAAGAACCTAAGTGCATTTTTATTTACAAAATAAAACATGAAAAACATGTACTGTCACAGTGTCTGGTTGGGGTTCCCTGGGTGTCCACTAGAGGTCTCTGTCCCTTATTGTCACCAACTCATGTTGGTGAACTGCAATTCCCTGCAGTTCACCAATGAACTGCAATTCCTATAATCCTTTGTCTGTACTCATCATCTGATCATTGCACACAGCTGTTGCCACTCACATCATTTGCACCTGGCTATTTATACCCTGCCTGTTTCTGTCTGCATCGTCAACTTTATCAATTTATCAACAATTCAAATGTTTCATGCGTAATCATTACTTTCCCCGGTTCTTTGTGGCAAGCTTTATTTCAGGTGTTGCAATAATATCTCTGCGTCCAAGTTGCAATAATATCTCAGCTAATGACATCATGAACAGTATTCGGTAACACTTTGCAATACGGGTGCACTAATATGCATTAATTCATACTTAACTAATGCACAGGAAATCATGAGTTAATATATAGCCTAACTCATGAAGAACTAAACCATTAATTAATGATTACTGCATCAGCAACTAATAAAGAGTCTATATGATTAATAGATTAAGTAATACATGAATTGCTATTAATTCAATGTGTCATTGTGTATTAATTCCTTAACATATTTTATTAACTAATGGTGTAAATAAATGTGTTAATATACCACAATTAGTCAAAGCTATGCACTTCAACTTCCAGTTGTCTGCTTTAATTAATTTTGCAAAGGTATCATTATGTTATGACTTTACTTGTTGAGGCACATCATTATTAACTAGTCATTTAGTAATTGTAGTAATTTGCACATGAATTTGCATTAACAATGAGGTAATTAATTATATATTAATGCATATTAGTGTACTTGTCATATTATCTGGAAGTTGAAATACAAGGCTTTGGCTCATTCTGGTAATTAACATATTAATTAAAACTATTAGTTAAAAAAAATGAGTTATTATGGAATTAATCCATGTTTACATATTTAATGAATAAATAAACCCTATTTAAACCCTACATACTCTTAATTAGTTCCTAATGTGGTAATCATTAATGAATAGCTTAAATAATCATTAGATATACACATTATTTCAGTATTATCTCTGCATTAGTTAAGCATGAATTAATACTTATTAGTGCACCCGTTTTGTAAAGTGTTACCAAGTATTCCCTTGTGAGCTCAAGCGTTCTATTGAATCAATAGGAAATTGCATGATTTGACTGAGAAAACATTGGATAACAAGACACCATTTTGAAATCTAAAGTCTCCCTGAACACAGTATTACAACGCAAACAACCTAAACATTTAAATGTGTATTTGTTTAAAGTCGTAAATTATTCTGTGCGGTAAATAGGCAGGCTACTTCCATGTACGCACAAATTACTTCCTTTTACACTGAAATGACTTCCTTTTACATTTACATTTTTACATTTAGCTGAGGTTTTAACCAAAGCGATGTACAATTGTTATACATATGTCAAACGTCGCACGTTGCTACAGCAACTAGGGGTTAAGTCTCTTGCTCAGGGACACATTGGTGTCTCACAGTGGATTTGAACCCGGGTCTCTCACACTAAAGGCATGTGTCGTGTCCACTGCACCAAGTAAATTATAATTATTAAATTATAATTATTAAATTTGAATTTAAATCCTATGTGGCGCCTCATACAGCAATTGTGACAGTAATCCTCATGACCCTGGTGGATAAATCAGTTTTTTATTTTCTTTTTCTTAAATGAAATGATATAGCAATTCTGGATACAACCTGTTTTGTATCTTTTATCTTTTTAAAAATATACTATGTGAAAATGCATTCAATGCCTATTTTTGTGACAGTTTTAAAATGCTTCTTATCACAGGTTGACCAGCTTCTAGTTCATCAGAAAGTGGAACTAATGGAAGGTAATGTTTAGCCATTGATTGGACTAGAAGCACTTTTTGAAACCCATTAAATATTCTCTTTCTCTCACAGTTCTCATGGGATGGGAGACCAAAAATCAATATGTGGTGAAAAATAGCTTAGGGCAACAGGTGTTTTTTGCTGCTGAGGAGAGTAATTTCTGTACTCGTATGATGTGTGGATCGGTGCGCTCCTTCCAGCTCCACATCCAGAATAGCATGGGACAGGAGGTGATGACTTTATCCCGTCCCCTTAATTGCAGTAGTTGTTGCTTCCCTTGCTGTCTGCAAGAGGTATAGTATACCACAACATTACCACTTCACATATACTGTCCCATGAGTATTATCACATTGTTTTGCATTGTGATTTGCATTCTGGTATGCTAATAAATGGACCAATGATTTTTAAACGTTGGAAAATACCTACCTATGTTGCTATCTTAATGTCAGTGCTGCTATATATTTCAGATGGAGGTTCAGAGCCCTCCAGGCAGCCCTATTGGTTATGTTATGCAAAGCTGGCATCCTTTCCTGCCAAAGTTCACTGTTCAGAATGAAAGGAAAGAACCCGTTCTGAAGATTGTGGGGCCGTTCTGCGACTGCAAATGTTGTTCTGATGTTATTTTTGAGGTATGGTGTATAAATTACAACAAATGCAATGTTTATTTTAGTTTATTTATTAGTTTTGGATGCAATTATTCGTTGCCCAGCACATAATATAATATAATATTTTTCTTGACAAATCAACATACTATAATGATTTCTAAGGGTGGCACTAAAGACTGGAGTAAGCAGCAGGAACAAATGACATTTTTATAAATTAAAATAGAAAAAAATAATTTTAATACTGTTATAATTGTAAATGTTTCCCACAATAGTACTGTTTTTGTCTTGATGAGCGTAAGAGATCCCAAACTCTGGGCATTGCACAGTATATTGTATAAAATAATTTGACACATGTCTAGTGAGTGTTTATGTTTGTGAATCCAACACTGATGCTTATCAAACTAACAGTCACATGCTTATGTGATCCCAGGTGGTGTCACTGGATGAGTCCTCAGCGATTGGTCGAATTAGCAAACAGTGGACGGGATTTGAGGCAGAAGCATTTACTGATGCAGACAACTTTGGCCTACAATTTCCAATGGATTTGGATGTGAAAATAAAAGCAGTTCTATTAGCAGCCTGCTTTCTTATTGTAAGTATGTACACTGCATTAATACAAACCATTACAGCTTTTAAATCTGAGAGCCATAACAGGCCTTTTTGTTTTCTTCTTCAGATTTTTAAACTATGATTATTAGCTTTCCCATCAAATTGTATGAATATTTTGTTATTTTATTGTTTTTTTGTTAGTCACGGTGCAATCAAACATACTTCTGCATAAAACAGTAGGCTGTAATTGGATATACAGTAAACATTATATGTTCACATAAATGCATAAATCACAGTAAATTAATTTGTCTTTTTCTTATTTTTAACATACAGGATTTCATGTATTTTGAGCACACTCAAAACCAAGAATGAAACCATCCTGTGTCCCCATGATGTCATGTTGTTCTCGTCAGTCCCTGATTAGCTTACCTTCCTCTACCTGTGCCTGTTTAGCTCCCTCCTCACTCAGTGTATTTACACTCCCCGTTCTGTTCATCCATTGTCAGTTATTGAATGTGGTGGTCACGCTGTATGAGTTACTTACCAGTGAACTTGAATGCTATTTGGATCCTGCATCATTCGTCTTCCTTCCAAGTAAAGTTGTGACATGTTCCCCATTTGTTTACATTGTGTATTTCTTTTGAATCTCAGGTGTGGTAGTTTTCTCTTTGAATTTTTAACTAAAGATTATGTGGGTCATAATTTTCCCCGGATTACAACACCAAAGTGTTTTTCATGGTTATTTATATATTAACAGTAAAGTGTGAGCTTTAACATCCTTTTTTCAGACACTTCTCTTGACGTCACACCACCTTTATTTATTTCGTCAAATAAAGAAAGGTGTGCCACCATAAAACTGCTGTAAATATAACATGTCAGCCCTTAGAACTTGTCAATGTCTAACTAATCTACAGTAAATGTTGACTTAAACCTTGTATTCTCATTTAGGTAATTCTTCAATCGTTTTTTTTTTTTTTTTTTAAATGACTAGTTCATTGGGTTAGGTATTATTTGGATTTCTGATATTGCTTATTGATTCCAATTCTTTTTGATTCCAAGTTTCAATGTCAGTCAAGTAAAAACATTTAAGCTCTCTGTTCACAGTGCTAATATGGAGTTTGGGACAGACAGCTGTATGAAGCTTACCCAAATTGCTCTCAACCCCATTGAGCACAGATTACAACACTTCAAGCATTTTACCTCCTGCCCTGACCTAGCCACAGAGAGAGGGACGACTAAACGCCCACTGTACCCCGTTTGTGCGCTGTGTGCTTATGCAGACAGAACTTGCTCCTTTGGCTTATCGGGGCTGCTTTGGGGGTGCTAAGAAAGTGTAGTGAAGTAGCTAAGTAGTAAAAAGGTAGTGGAAGCCATCCATTTGAGCTGAGATTAATGAGCTGCCATTGGATGGCTGAGAGACCTGTTTGTTAATGCCTAAACAGGAGTTTCATGCAAGATTTGAGTAGGCTCTTTTTGCTGCCTGTTTCTTATGTGCTTATGCAAACAGCATTCACCTCATGGTTCGCTTGGTTTATATTGACAGAGCTCCAGCGCAAAGCGCCTGCCCCTCTATAGGCTTTCTATTGCATTTAAAGTTTGGTGTTTTACACTTAAAGCCCTGTTTCAAGATTGTCAGCACTGAAATAGAACAGTTAAGATTAAAATTTGGACACATGCTGCTGTCCCGAGAAATTTCAGTTTCTGTGGTTGCCTAGAAATGTCTATTTCATCAGAAATGATCTTGAAACAGGGCTTTAAAGGTATAGTTTACTTTTAAATTAATTTATATGTTTAGCTTATCTCAAGGGCATCCAAGATGTCTTGACTCTTTGTTTCCACAGTATTTTCAATTTTGATGTTTTTAGGCCAAACCGTTCTTATCTGTCAGTCATATAATGGCAGTTTATGGGGATCACCCTTCACTTCAAAGAGCATGCACAGAGAAGTCCAAATTAAACATGATTTAATGACTCGTAAATGTACTGTAAGTACACATTGATGTGGTTTCATAGAATCAGGATGTAAACCGGTCGTTCAAATGACAGAGGAGAAAGCGGCTTACGATAAAGGTGAAATTTATGAAAAATAAGACTTAAAAAAAAGAAAAAAACACAAATATATGTTATATTGCACCCCATAAACACAATCATGCAAAGAAAAAAAGCAGTAAACCACCCCTTTAACATTGACAAGCAAACTTAATTTTCACAAATACACAGTAAAAACAATATAATATATGAAAATAATGTCTAGAATATGAAAGTAATGTTTTAATATGACATTTGTTTGTGATGTTATGTTGTATTTATTGTGCATTGGCCACTACTTAAATATGCTGGAGCGGTCAGTTGAGTAACAAGATCGCAGCAAGTCTCAATTCTCACTGCGTTCTGTGTCCTTGCATCCTTCCAAGTTTATTGGAAGATTTTAGCTTTAAAATACATATCAGATTAAAATCTATATTGTCAATTCAGATCTATAGTCCACACAGCTGACATGTTTAACTGTTGTAGTTTATCCACATTGTTTGCAGGAAATAGATGCTGCACACAGTCAAAACGTGGGAGCGGAGAAGCTAATTCCATGTTTCAGTCACTGATTTCGGCCCCCAAAACCATTTCGGCAGCCAAAATTTCGGTATGTCCCTAATTGGTACACGTGATTTCTTTATCGTTGATTTCAAGTGCAAGAAGATGCATACGAGAACTTAATCAAGTCATGGTCGTTGTGTGTATCCTGTACATTTGGACTTACAAAGGGAAGTTAGCTTTGCAACAGATTCATCCCAAAATATGATGCACAGAAAATGTTTAAAGATGTGAATTGTTTTTAATAGTGCTTGTACTTCGAAACTAAATTAGAGTGCAAATAGTAAATATGATGTAACATTGCCAGTTTGTGTCTGTCAATGTATTAATGTGATTGCATTTTGCTTCATTCATCAACATTTGTTTTGAGGGTAGCTTGAAACAAAAAGCAAGTCTTTTAGATCACTTATATTTTTATATTTTTTAATACTGTTCTATGATGTGGAACAATGGTTTCTATAAAATATGGTAATAAGAACCGGTTGTAAAGTGATACATAGCCTACCTATTCTCATGAGAGGAAGTTGATGAGGTGTAAATATAGGCTCTGTATTGAAGGAGTTTCACCACACTCATCACAAGGTGCCAGACAGACAAGACTAGATATCTCAAAAAAATAAAATAAATAAATAAACAAACTGTCTCTATACTTGAATACAAAAGACAATTCTCAGGGCATACAGACAATAAATGTAGCAATCCATTTAACTGTGTTCAAGCACATCAGGACAATCAACAGTGCAAAAGCCAGATAGGACCAGTTGTAGTCCAATGGTGGGAGTTGTAGTTTCACATTACCTCCCCATAGTGAAAATCCCCACTACAAGAAACAAACATAAATACATTATACAAACTGACAAAATGTATGCAAATATATAATATATAGGCACATATATATATATATATATATATATATATATATATATATATATATATATATATTATATATAGGCTACATTCATACATGTTTGCTGTATAAGTGCACGGAGACTGCAAAAACATCAGTAAAGCCTTCATAATCTGCAGTATAATATATATACATACAGTATATATATATAAAGCCTTAAAGGGTTAGTTCACCCAAAAATGAAAATTATGTCATTGATGATTCCAAGCCCGTAAGACCTCGGTTCATCTTCAGAATTTTTTTTAAAGATATTTTAGATTTAGTTTTCTGTCTGCAAGAATGTTTTGAAGCATCGAAAATATATTTTGGTCCAAAAATTACAAAAACTACGTCAGCATTGTATTTTCTTCCGGGTCTGTTGTCAATCCACGTTCAGTGACGCTGCTGTCGTGTTATTTGGTGCATCCGTCCATACAGTTTAATAAGAAGATATTTTATACACACAGTCAACTTCGCGAATACAGGAAGAAGCCATCTTTGAAAAATAGTCTCTACCAGTCGATCTACGCTTGATCTTTATGCTTCTTTTTAAAATTATATTAAATAAACATAACTATATATAAAATTACATCTAAACGTATGTACGTTTCGTTTCAAAGACGGGAGGACATTAAATTTAGAAGACTCTGCCATAATCCCGTTTTCCTCGGTTTTCCTCCGCTTTAATCTCCACAACCGGAAATGGACGAGCATCCTTACGTCAAATGCGGAACTTATGCGTGCATATAGCCCATTAGACCAAAGGTTAATTTTGTGCCGGAGTTCTCCTTTAAGTCATCAGCATCACTGAACGAGGATTGACAACAATCCTGCTGAATAAAGTCGTAGTTTTTGTTATTTTTGGATCAAAATGTATTTTCGATGCTTCAAAACATTCTAACTCACTGGTGTCACATGGACTACTTTGATGATGTCTTTATTTCCTTTCTGGACAAGGACAGTATATCATACATACATTTTCAATGGAGGGACAGAAAGTTCTCAGACTAAATCTAAATTATTTTAAACTGTGTTCCGAAGATGAATGGATGTCTTACGAGCTTGGAACAACATGAGAGTGAGTCATTAATTACATAATTTAAATTTTTGGCTGAATTAGCCCTTTAATGTGAATACAAGGTAATAAATGGCCACAATAAATAAATAATAATAATGAATAAAAAAAAAAGTTCTATCTTCTTACAATATAAAACGTTTCATTTAACTTTTAATTGCATTGTGCACTGTGTGCATTGCATTGTATTGCATTGTGTGTTTTGATAAGGGGTTTGCTGTTAATTGATGGACTGAGATTGCAAGTCATGACAGGATTTGACAGGCAGGTAGTTGAAAGAAAAAGAATCAGATGCTTTTAAAAAACATTTGAAAAAAACTCTATGGAGATCACTTTCGTCATAAAGGCAGACGAATAATTCGAGGTAATCTAACAGGATCCGAGAAATGGCAAGATTTGTTACGGTAAAATGGTCATGAAGAGATTTTTTTTCTTTTTTCTTTCTTTCTTTTTTTTTTGCCAGTAATTTCGTTTGTTTGTAAGGGGTGTGTTCGCGACCGACCACAAGCAGCAGTTTCCTGGAAAGGAAACTCATGGGCGGTGTTGTGAGGAAGATAAAGAGCGAAGAGAAAACAGTGGGATTATCTCTCATAAAACATTATTTTTATCATTATTAATTTAAATGTACTACCTCTCTTAGAGTGGGTTTTCGGGAAAAAAAGTTGAGGAATAAAACAAATCATCATCCACAGCCTACTTATTTTTGATAAACAGGTAAGTTGGCATATGAAATTCATGATGCAGCATAGGCTACACTGTGTAAGAAAAAAAAAAAACGTTTTGTCGTATATTCTGGTTAATCCAATACATTTGAATCAATCGTAGACTTATAGGCTACACAAATGTAGCACATGTAACGGGGTAGATATAGATCCTTAAAGTAACAACTGCACGCAAACATCTGCAGTAGCGCTAGTGGGAACAACAGTTTCCATCATGTCATTGTTATACGCTAATTATGCCTTTTCTTCACTTCAACTATATTCAGCCAAAATACTGAGTGGTATTAAAGAGTAGCACTGACTAGAAATGATAGCAAAAATGGTAACGCTTTACAAGGTCTCGTTTAAATATTAGGTAATTCATTAACAAAAATTAACAAAGAGCAATATACATTATTTTTTTTAACAACATTTATTAACCTCATGTTGGTTCGCAATACATAGGCTACTTGCTAACAGATACTAATTTGATTTTAAAATTAAGTTCATGTTGAGATTAACATTAACTATGGTTAATAAATGCTGAAAATGAAGTAGTCTATTATTGTTCACTCTTAGCTAATGTATCGTTTCTATTAATCACATAATGAGCCCGATAAAAACAATATAAATTAAGCTATTCAAAATGATTCGACGATGTGGCTCATTTAGCAATATAGTTAGGCCTATTAATTATGCAAATAACTGATGTATTATTTGGTAATAATTTGTGTGCATAAATGTTAAAGGGTAACTAAACCCCTGGTCAGAGCCTGACTCCACCCACTGGCAATATTTGAAAAATGCTGAAAAATGGGCAGACCCCAGCGAAGATAGAGGGAACGAGCCGAGGCATGCACCTTAGACCCACAGTGACAGATGCTGTCAGACTCTAAAATGGAGAGCGACTGGAGTGATGCAAGTAGCTAACAGAGCGGTCATTTGAAGTCGAGGACTTTTCTCCCCCACCTTCACCTGAAGTGGAGGAGGGTGAATTGTCTGTGGGCATAGGGCCATATATCAATTCCAGCCGCTGGCTCAAAATGCAGTCTTGACTCACACATCTCGACTGCCATCTGATGAGTTAATGTCAATAGCGCGCTCACTGTAGGCATATTGATAATTTGCCGCTATGTTTCCACATGCAAAATGTGGCGTAAACAAACATAACACAACATGAAGTCCAGGCGTGGTCATCTCTCGGCCTTCACTGTCGTCATTCCTCCTATTATCCTTCTGTGGCTCCTCCATTAGAGACATTAGTGCGGTGAGGCGTGCATTAGCAATCGCCCTGCTTGCCACATTAACTATTTGTGTGTTTTCTGAATGAATGTTCATTTGCACTCAGCGCACTTTCACTACGCCACAGCGCCTGGGGAAGTACTTTGTATTTAGCATTTAAAGTAAAGATGATGACATCAGATCAGATGAATGACTCTGTTAAGCAAAGATAGTAAGCAACAGGCTCAGAGTGGTTCAGGTTTAACATTGCATTAATAAAAAAAAAAAATAAAAAAAAAAATAGAGTGGTGACACTGGGTACTTCATTTGAATGGTTAAAGGTTGTCACACAGGTGTGTTGTCTCCATTTCCAAGCACTGCCCACTAAAATCATAAAAGTAATCCACGTGGCTCTGAGGGTTAATAAATGCGTTCAGAAGAGAAATGATGCGTTTGTGTAAGAAAAAAAAAACTGAAACCCCTTAAAAACCTAAATAAATAGCTGTGTTGATTATTTGTATGATGGATTGATGCACTTTTTTGGGCTCGATCTCGTTATAATGCTTGGATTGGATTGTTTCACAATCTCCAATTGCATTCCTCTGAAATAGGAAAGTCATATACACCTAGGATGGCTTGATTAAATCATGGGAATAGTCTGCCTCTTGAACTAAGAGAGCTAGCTTCTTTAAATGTATTAAAAGCTTGTGTTAACTTATTTCTTGTCTTTAGCTTTTGAGAGGTTGGGCTTGTATTTGGATTAGTAAGTTGCATGTTGTTTTTAAGTGTTTGTTTTTATGCTACTGATTGTACTGAACTTTAGTCTGCAGGTGCAGTTGTGAAGTGCTTTATAAATTCAATTAAGTGAGTAACTTCCCGGTAATTCCTGGTGTTCTCAGCCTGAACAGTGTATATTAATGCCCTCCTGTTTTGCAAAATTATTGGCTATTAAAAAATATGTTAGGCTGCTGAAATTTAATTCCTTACAATGCAAAATGCATGGAAAAAAATATTTGCATAACTTGCTTTTCTGGTTTCCAGAGAGTAATTTGCAGCGTCCTGCCATGGCTACAAATAATGGTAAGTGTGTCAAAACCTTATCATCAGTGACCTGATCCTGACAGCATTGTGTTAAATTTCTGCTATACAGAAACATCCTGCTCTTTGATGCTCTTTAAAATAGGTTACCCGATTGACCTCCAACCACAGAAAAATGCAATTAATTCCGCCCCTCCTTATTGCCAGTCACCAGCCATACCAGGTCACGGTAAATCTATGGAAAATAAAATTTTTCAAATTTGTATCTCACTTTTTCAGATCCTGATGTTAAAGACGGAATTTTCTTTGTTTTGTAAGGTCAAGTGCCAATGATGCCGGTTCCAATGAGACCCGAAGGCTGTCCACCAGGACTGGAGTACCTGATCCAGGTAGAGCTTCACTGCTGTGTATAAACCGCTCTGTATGACACTGAAGACACTGATGTTTTTATTTTTCTTGCATGAGATCTCTTCTCAGCAGTGGCGGCTCGTCAGGGGAAACAAGGAAGGCACAGCCTACCCAAAATCTTGTGTCTCGGAATGTGTATTTCTTTTTTTCTGTTTGTAACTTCACCTCTGTAAGTGTAACCGCCGCGCTTCTTCCAAGAATGTGCCGAATCTGTGAAACGCAAGTTTGAGGGGATAGAGAAAGGGACGAGGAGGCTCTGTTGGTATAAAAAAAAATTCAGCCAATCACCATGGAGTATTTCACTTTCAGTGATTAGGAGTGTTGAGAAAAGTAACATGGCAGAGGAGGCTAGCCTCCCTTGGTTTATCAACCAATCATCGACAAGACGTAAATTACGGGATATTAGTTTGAACTGGTACCGCTGATATAAATTTGGAGAGTAGAGATATTGAATATTTGATTGCAAACAAATTTAATAAACTAACATTGAAACAACAGCTAAATTAAAAATAAAAGGAGACCCCATGCCTAAGTTGGATATAGGCTGCAGCAATCAGATTCACTAAACACAGTGCTTTTTTAACACAGACATTTAAATGGATTTTTGCTTCAAGTGATAGGCTAGGACTAGTGAGTGAATTATATTTATATTGTCTTGATGTCTGTGTCGTTTTCTATAAATATTCAGGTATATACAGTACAGTAAGTGACCAAAAAAAAAAAAAAGCCATTTAAAGAAGTTAAAAATACTACCGCTAAAATTGTGTGCCCCACCATTTCAAAACCCACCAGCCGCCACTGCTTCTCAGGAAGTGGGGACTAAGCTTGTGTTAGTTTTGTGGCTTTGACATGTTAATGTAAATGTAAAAGATCGTTTTCAACCTTTATTCCCTTTTTACAACACAGATTGATCAACTTCTTGTAAAGCAGAAAGTTGAACTAGTTGAAGGTAATATTGTGATATTTGTTGTAGTTTTTCCAATGATAATACTTTGACTATTTTGAATGTGTTTAAATGAAACTGTGCATTTTACCTTTCTATAAGTCATACCCCTTTGATTACTTTTGCTTGATCATATAAGCTTTACACAACATCTCATAGGAATAAACTGGAAACTTATATGAACAATATCATTTTCAGTAAAATTATTTTTTTTTTCAGAGAGTATTGACTTGGCCTGTCAAGTAACCAAGAAGTAGTGACATGACAACTTTATAGCCATGCCCTAGCAACCAGTTACATCACCCGAGCAACCATCCCATAGACTTCCACTTAAAAAGATGAGAGGGATATCTTTGAATTAGAGCATCATATAGATAAGGGGGTGGTATGTTTGGAATCAGACTGGCATGTAGTTCAGAATGCCAAATAATTTCCCTGTCACACCCTATCAACAAGTATCTGCACTCTAGCAACCGTATGGCCATATCTTTGCAACCACATCAAAACACAATAGCAACTACTGTACCTAGCAACACCCTGACAACAACCCAGAACACCAAAGCAATGCTTAAAAATGCCATATAAATCACCTAGAACACCTTATCAGCTGCCTAGGAACACCCTAGCAATTGCCTATCAGGAACATAGCAATGCCTATAGCAACCAACCAGAATCCCCTAGCAACACCCTAGCTACTTCCTTGCAACCTCAGTGCCGAGTATTGCCATGGCAAGCACCACTCACATTTTCTGCAGAAAATGTACATGTCTATTTTTTTATTTATAATTTAAATGTATTTATTCATTTTATTTTAAAAACAGTGATAAAAGGCCCAGTCACAATGTTTTAAATTAGTTTTACTTATAAAACTTATGTAATATGAATCTGTATTATTATTACAACAGTATTCTGTAATATTAATCTATCCAAACACACAGGACTTCCATACAATTCTATTCAGAAAATGTTTGCCTAATAATATGAGGTAGGATTGGTAGTAACCTTTTTAAGGCGGGGCTTACAGATGTGTCAGTTAATGCAGTGAACTCAACTTGACATACACAGGTCTTTATTCTATAATTTTGTTTTTATTGTGTTGTTGATTCATGTCACAGCTATATTGGGTTGGGAGACCAATAACAAGTACATGGTGAAGAACAGCATGGGGCAACAGGTGTTCTATGTGGCTGAGGAAAACGACTGCTGTAACAGACAGTTCTGTGGGCCATTGCGCTCATTCGTCATCCATGTTCAGGATAACTTGGGACAGGAAGTGATGACCCTCACACGCCCTTTGAAGTGTGCTAGCTGCTGCTGCCCCTGTTGCCTGCAAGAGGTAAAACACATTTATGTTCTTTAAGTAACTAGTTTATTCACGTTTCAAAGCCTTTGATTTGAATGTTGGGTTTAGTGGTTAAAGGGTTAGTTCACCCAAAAAATGAAAATTCTGTCAGTATTTACTCACCCTCATGTTGTTCCAACCCCGTAAGACTTTCGTTCATCTTCGGAACACAAATTAAGATATTTAAGATATTAAGATCGCTCCTGCATACTAGTCCATAGGCTTCTTGAGGGCATGACACTTGCTGGCATCGAAAAGTCATTAAAGACATCGTTAAATTAGTCCAAGTGACTACAGTGGCTCAATTTTAACTTTATCAAACGACGAGAACACTTTTGTGCGCAAAAACAAACAAAAATAACGACTTTATTTCAACTATTCACTTCCTTCTCTATGGGCCTGTAGTCAGTTAACGTAGTGTGATTGCGTAGAGCTACGTCACACGTAGGCTCACTATTGGCCGACGCTGGTCATGTGTGTGATGCGTGTGACGTACAATAACAGAAGCTTACGCTATTAAACTAGTAACCTGAGTCGCACAGAGGGAGAAATAAACGAATAGTTGAAATAAAGACGTTATTTTTGTTGTTTTTGTGCACAAAAAGTGTTCTCGTCGTTTGATAAACTTAATATTGAGCCCCTGTAGTCACTTGGACTATTTTAACGATGTCTTTAATGACTTTTCGAGGCCAGCAAGTCATTCCCTCAAGAAGCCTATGGACTAGTATGCAGGAGCGATCTTAATATCTTAGATATCTTAATTTGTGTTCCGAAGATGAACGAAGGTCTTACGGGGTTGGAACAACATGAGGGTGAGTGAATACTGACAGAATTTTCATTTTTGGGTGAACTAACCCTTTAAAGATGGTTGGTGAAAAAATGTAGGTTCAAGCCACAGAAGCAGTGATTCATGGACTAGTATCATTGTGCTATTTTCTGTAGAAAAAAAAAATGTTTTAGACAAAACCCTTATACAATCTACAGTTCAAAAGTTTGGGTCGGCAAGATTTTGTAAGTTAAGTCTCTTATGCTCACCAAGGCTATATTTATATAAAAAAAATGTGTTACCAGCAATATTGTCAAATATTATTAGAATTGAAAATAACTTTCTATTATATATATATATATATATATATATATATATTGTATCTTTCAGTTGGTATGACATTTATACCATTGTGATGGATGGTGCTCAGTAAATGTTAGACAGTGTGAAAGTGTGACAACATCGTGATCCATTTCACTGATGCACAATTTTATGGTCAGTTAGATCAGCCTAAACTGCAAGTGTTAAAAAAAACCCCAGTAAAACAATGAAATAATCAACTAACTATGACCCATTATTTAGTCTTATTAACACATTATCGTACCTAAAACTATTTTATCATACCTTTAGCATACTCAGTAGAGCTGCATCATTCGGGCATGGGAAGCTTGTGTGTCAAATGAGCAAATGAGCATGTCTCAGACTGTCCTTAACTAAAATGTTGCTGTATTAGCTTAATATTAAATCTAGAAAACCAATGCACTTGGAAATTGTGATTTCTTTTGTTGTTTTTTTAATAATGTCTATTGTATTTCATAATTAAAATCTATTTTCACATTCATCATGTATAATACGCCTCATCAAAAGAATTCAATTATAGATTTGGTGGACACTGTGAACAAAAACAAGGAAAATCGGGAAATCATAGTGGAAAAACAATACAGAAGACTCTGTCAAGGTCAATAAGTCTTATAAAATATTAGATAATTCAACCTTTTTATGACAAGGCAGGGTTAGTTCAGATTGAGTTGCAAAATATCAGATACATCAATCTTTTTATGACTAGGAAAGGTTAGTTTTAGGTTGAGCATGTGGTAATATTTACCAAGGAAGTTATGTTACATTTTGAAATCACCTTGACTATTGCAGGACTGATGTGTTGCATGATGGGTACACAGCGATGCCACCATCAATTGTCATGTCTGTGATTAAATTAACAGGTTAAACGCTACCTGTTAGTTGTGAATAATATGAAAGGTCTACTATATTTTAAGTAGTTATACCTAAACTGCTCCAATCGCTTCTGATGTGTCTTTTGTCTGCCTCATAGCTTGAAATCCAGTCTCCACCAGGCAACCCCATTGGATATGTGATCCAGAATTGGCATCCTTTTATTCCCAAGTTTACCATTCAGAATGAGAAAAGAGAAGCAGTTCTGAAGATCGTGGGGCCGTTCTGCGCCTGCAGATGCTGCTCTGATGTCAACTTTGATGTATGAACCATATTAGACTGATAGTTTGATATTTTGAGTTAACATGTTCTTGCACCATTTTGCATGATCATAAATAGTTATTTATTTGCATCTAAACAGGTTTTGTCCATGGATGAGTCAACAAAGGTGGGCAGAATCTCTAAACAGTGGAGCGGTTTGGTGAAAGAAGCTTTCACTGACGCAGAAAATTTTGGAATCTCCTTTCCTATGGATCTAGACGTGAAGATTAAAGCTGTTCTTTTTGGAGCATGTTTTCTCATAGTAAGCAAACATAAGGCATTATTGCACATGTTTCTTGTTAGACCAGTTTTTTAAACTTCCACTATAGCTCTGTGTGCTTCAGCAGAGTGAATAATCTGATATTGTTCTTCTCTCGTAGGACTTCATGTTCTTTGAACACAGTAAATAAATGATTGTTGTCTGGATGTCATGTAAGTATATTGCAGGGAGTATTTTGAAAATGTCCACAGCATGATTTGTCAACACGTGATTGTAACTATTGTGCTTCAATTAATATTTCAGATTGAAATTTGAACTCCTTGTTCTGAACATGGATGCACATGTGGATCACTTGGCTTACAATTATATTTTACATATTACTATGCACGTTATATTATATAGTGTTGTATTAATGTTCTTGAGTCACCACTAGGTGACAGCAATTCCCTTTTCTATAACGTTTTCAGCATCAAGTACCTGCTACATGGAAGCTTTTGCTAAACAATTAACTTCCTTTAAAACTGTAAGGCATTTTACACAATATAAACACACTTACAGCAAGAAAAAAGGAATGACAATCTTTGCTCCTTTTAAAAAAAAATTTAGTCAGTTTTTTTGGACATTGCTTTTTTTTTTAAAGACAAAATGTAATCTATTCTACAGTGGAAAATGTCTAAATTAACTAATCATGTCAAAAATTATAGTTGACATCATTTAATCAGGTAGAGAAATAGCTATTTAAGGTAATTGCAGGCTACTACATTTTACAGTCTATGCATTCCTGATCACTGGTAGTGCATTTTATATTGTAAAAAGATGTTGAAATAAGCATGTAATAAATATACTGTAACTGTGTAATTATTCAAAATTAAATTTCTTTTAGCACCTACTGCCTTTTCCCCAAAGTGCTCTTCAATTCCTCATTATGCCTTTTTAGAAGTTAAGGAGGCATTAGATAATGAATACCACTTTCACTTTTTTTTTTTTTACCTTTTCTTTTCTGTTATTCACGTTTTAATGTTGCTCAGCAACAACACCTCATTTACACTCCATGAGGAATCAAATGATCCTTAAAAAAAGTCCTTAGTCTTATCCTGGTAAATAGATGTTCCCTTTTCACTAAAATAAATTATTTTCAGAGTTGCAACTAAAGACAGCTTTTGAAATAAAAAATGAGAATGCCCCCTCAGAAATTACCTTTTTAGTTTAAGAAGACTATACTATGTTCATAATAGTATGGTACATTTCAATTGTACTGTTTGTGCAGTGCATATGCTGTTCACTGTTTGCAAAATTTCTACATGCATAGAAAACCCCAAATGTGTCAAAATGTGAGTACACAACCAGAGTACACTGTGTGGGAAATCGTATCCCATAATGCAATGCACATGACTTTCTATTTCCAGTGTGGCGAATGAACCTGAAACCTGTTTTTTACTCATATTTATTTCTGAAATAATAACTGGATACCACAGCATAGCATTTTGCTGTGTGCAATGTATTTCATTGCATAATGTGTTCTACTGTATTTCACATATTATTATAATACCCAAAACAGACACACTAAGAGGACTGAAATTCATTGACAATAAAACAGGCCCAAGTTAAATGCATTATTCCTGTCTGCCTGCATTACTCTAAACCTTTTGAAGACCGGAGCATGTCATCCTAAACTTTCTCCTCTACACTATTGCAAATATCATCAGTTACAGTGCACACTGTGCTGTATGCAGTAAACGGTGAAATATTATTCAGTTCTTAAGACGTGTAAATAGCTAAGATAAGAAGTGACTATTTCTTGTATTTGCAACTGTATATCTCACAATGTGTGATTCTATATCTAAAAATGTGACTGTATCTTGTGATGTGACTATTTCTATCTGATGTGACTATTTGCGACTATGGTAAATATGATGTAAGATGGCTGTAAAAATATATCTGTTTATCCCTTTGATCTTTCATAAAAAAGCAAAAATCAAACCATTCTTTGAAGTAAAAGAATTGAAGGTGGCGGGAAATCACATTATGAAATAAATGCTTTTCTCCAAAACATTTTGGCCACACGTTAACGGCATCCTTTTATTAAATCATTTTTGCAACCTCCTTTTGCTAAGATAATAGCTCTGAGTTTTCTCCAATAATGCCTAATGCGTTTGAGAACACCTGGAAAGAGATCAGAGACCATGACTTCATGACCATTCCCAGATCCATGTTGGTGCTTCTCATCTTCTGTTCACCACACTCATTTTCTGTAGGGTTTAGGTGAGGAACTGGGACAGCTGGCAAAGCTTCATTTAGTGCTCAGTGACTAATTTTTGTGCCGATTTTTGATTTTGTTTGTTTTGGATTGTTGTCCTTATGGAAGATCCAACCACAGCACAGGCTTTTTTCTGTTTTTCTGTTATCTGTTGGTATTTGATAGAATCCACGATATCATGTCTGAACAAGATATTCAGGACCTCCAGCAAAAAAAAAAAAAAAAAAAAAAAATGACCCACAACATTAAAGATCCATCAGTATATTTAACCGTGGACATTCTGTTTTTTTTTTCTGTTTTTCTGTTATCTGTTGGTATTTGATAGAATCCATGATACCATGTCTGAACAAGATATTCAGGACCTCCAGCAAAAAAAAAAAAAAAATGACCCACAACATTAAGGATCCAGCAGTATATTTAACCGTGGACATGGGGTACTTTTTATCTCTGTGTTTAGTGGGCACGGGGTATCTACCATAATAGGGTATTTTTCATCTGACCAAAGAATCCAGTTCCTTTTAAAGACTGAACTGAACTGGATGTGCTGGAGTGTTTTTGGGTTAGCAAGGAGGATTTTTTCTTGAAACCCTCCCAAACAACATGTAGGGGTTGGTTGATTGATTTAATTTTTTAGGCTTTCAGACCGCAAGACTCAACTAATCTCTGCAATTCTCCGTCTGTGATCCTTGAAGAGTCTTAGGCCACTCAAACTTTCCTCCTCGCTGTACACAATAAAGACTCGCATCTTCCTCCAGGCAGATTCGTAAAACATCTTTAGTTGATTGGAACTTGTGAATTATTGTCCTGATGGTGGAAATGGTGCTAAAAATATAAATATTAATTGGAATATACTTCGGATATACTTCCCTATATATTGTTGCCAATAATTAATGTGCCAATAAAAAAGTATTTCAGAGAAATGCTGTGATTTACCCCCAATTTCAATAATTTCACTTCAATGAAACGTTAGATTTTTTTTTTAAAGAAAGCTCAAAAGGATAAACAATGCAGATTTGTTTTGACAGCCATCTTTGATCATATTTTCCATTGGGTCCCAATAATTCTGACTGCAGCTGCATATCTGTAGTTGTGATTTTATGTCACAATGTGACTATATCCAGCAAAAATCTTACAGGGTGACTTTATTTCTTGTTTTGTGAATGATAATTTCTCACGTCTCTGGAATTCTATCAGTTAACACATTCAGTAATTCTGACCCATCCCTCGGTTTGTAAAAATAAATTAAATATTCATTTGCACTAATGCACTTGAAATGCAAGTCAGTTTCAACAGTATATTCAAAGGTATTTCCAACCCTACATAACCTCTTGCTCTGGAGAATGCTTGTAAACTTCCAAGCTGGGAGAAATAGTGGTAGCTGGGCTGCTGGATGTATTTGGTTTGATCAATAATGGAGGACTCATCTGCTGATGGAAGCGCAGAGAGACCTAGAGCCTCTAATGAAAGGGCTTGATTGATGTTGTCCTCTGATGTGTCTATGACAACAGCCAAAGGCCTCACCTCATGCAGCTCCACCCACAACTCACCACTGTTCACATACAGTACAGCCACACTGTTGTTCAGTGGTGTTAAACACCTACTCAACCTCTGTACATTGAGAGCATTTAGTCCCTTGAAGCTAATTAATAAACCACTGAGTTGGTGCAGTCATTTAATATGCTGGGTCTCATCATTAGGATCTTCAATTTGTATACGGACTTCTGAATCATGGATTTCAACGTGCGATTAAAACATTCCACCAGCTCATCCGTTTGTGGGTGATAGATGCTGGTGTGAGTCGATTTAATGCCCAATAATTCATAAATCTTGCGAATCGTACGTGACATAAATGCTGTGCCTTGGTCGGTGAGAATCTCCTTTGGGATACCCACCCGGGAGATTGAAATTTCAAATAATTGCCACGCTTTTCGAAAATGATGTGAAGTGGCACTGCTTCTTTGTATCGTGTTGCATAATCCACCAAGACTAATGCAAAGCAATGCCCCTGTGCTGATCGCTCTAATGGCCCAATGAGGTCCATACCAATTCTCTTCAAGGGGGCTACCACTAGAAGAAGAGAGCACAAAGGTGCTTTTGGGTTGGCCGGACTTGTTTAACGGCATTTTTAAGCGTTTGATCTCGGAAATGCTCCAGAGTGAAATCATCATGTACTGAAAGATCACATCTCTCTATCATGCCTCTTTCCTCTGGAATTGGCTCCAAAGGTCCCGGCACAGCCTCTCGCACCTGAGCGACCACCCTCTTCCCCCGCTTTTTATTTTACCCCAGAAGCACCCACACATAACTGTCCCAATAAAATTTGAAATCCCGGCCAATTGGTTCCCAAAATCAGTGGATGCCAAAGGTGCTGACTCAGCCACCTCCACACTATGCTTTTGTCCCCTGAATTGAATAGTGACTGATTGGATGTGAATGGTTGCAGCTTTCATACTAATCCAAATGAGTGACAAAATAACGCAAACGTTTTCCTATTTACATGTTGTGATTTGTATAGTCACAGAGTGTGCAAATATCAAGGCCATATGAGACACAGACATCTTTTAACCGTATAAATAGGCTACTATATTTTCTGAAGGCGAAGCACTGCTACTTGGGCAGAGTGATAACCATCACCTGAGACGCACCGTGACGAGGAGCAGAGAGTTCGCTTCGCTCAGTGTTGGAGTAAAGAGTCAGCAATTACTAACGTTAGATAGAAAAGCATAGTTTATCATGGGTGTTTGCTTTATTGTATGAGCTGTGACAATAAACAGGGGAGACCAGGTAATACAGTACCATGTTTCATTGATTTTCAACCAAAAACGCACCCAGATTTATAAATATCACAGAACATGAATAAATAATTATTATTACAGGAATCAATATATTTTAAATGCAATTTATTAGCTGAACCAAATGTATTCAACAGTATATAATATACAGTATAATTGCATTACTATAGGATAGAATAAGGGGAAAGTAATAGCACAAATTGTTTTTGCACAATGAACTCACAGCCTATCGTACCCTTTTGTACGCTCAAGTTCGTTATTTCCATGGTTATTTCAAATTTAGGCTACTAGGCGCGCCGCGCGCAGGGTGCAAGTTCAACGCGGTGAAAGCGCTCGTTTTTTTCCAAGCGCGTCCGCGCCGCATCAAGATAAAAACATATTCATACCCTAATCATATAATAGTGTCACTAACGTTACATTAGATCTGGCTAATGGCACTGTTACAGTAGGTCATCTAAAAACATAACGGAACACTTACCTCAGCCGCAGGTGATCCACTTGTCCTGTCTGTGCTATCGATGGGATGGCCGTATCCTTCAGCACATTATGGTCCGTGTGGCAAATTCCATTTTTTCAAAATAGTCGTCCTCATTGAAATGTACCGAGCAAACATAATGTCCCTTGATAATCTTAGGTGTGTTTGGATAAATATCCAGAGTAAGTTATAGCCATTTCTTCATCCAGTCAGCATTTTTAGTTGGAATTCTGTGAAACATGGTATTACCTCCCCTGTTTACTGTCGCAGCTATTTACAATAGAGCAAAAACACACGACTGTAAACTACGCTTTTACTATTTATAAATTGCTGACTCCCAAACTCTGAGCGAACTCTCCGCTCCTCACCACGGCGTGTCTCCGGTGATGCGGTTATCACTCCGTCAAAGTAGCAGTGCTTCGCCTTCAGAGAATAGTTCCCAGGTTTTATACGGTTAAAAGATGTCTGTGTCTCATTTGACTTTGTTATTTGTACATTCATTGTACAATTTCATAGGAAATCGCTATCCGGTAAAATCTC